CTGCCACCGCCAGCATCGCCTGGCGGCTCCGAAAAGCATCGAAGCAGCAACACTGCACTCGTGCGTGTGGGTTTAGGGTTTAGGGCTTAGGGTTTAGGGTTCAGGGTTTAGGGTTTAGGGTTGAGTTGTAGGGGCTTGAGGGTCAAGGGTTTAGAGTCGTAGGGGGTTTAGGGTTAGGGTGCAGGAGGTTATGCATTGTAGTTCCTTCCTTGGTTCATCCAGCTTCATTACTAGGATCCGAGAAGGTAACCCCGAAAAGGAACTACAATGGAGACTGCAGCTAGAGTGTGGGAGGTTAAGGGTTTTACGGCCTAGGCTTTAGGAGGCTTAACGGCTTTTTGGGGTTGCGGGTTTGTGGGGCTTAGGGTTTAAAGCGGTCGGTTTAAAGTTCCCTTCACAAGATGGGAGGGGAGGAGTTTGTGAGCCGGCCGTACCTTCGGCCTCAAGACTCAAGTTCTATGTCTATGATGCCAGCATCTTCGTTCAACAAAGGCTTCAGGCTCTGTTGCTCAACTGTATAAATCAAAGGTGAAGAAGAGCTGAAGACAAAGACGACCAACAGAAGCCACGTTCTGATGAAATGTGTGTGTGTGTGTGTCTGTTTGTTTGTGTGTGCCGTGCCGTTCCGTGGACTTTCTTGTGTTTGGGTCCTTTGTCGCATCGCACGAACTTTCGCTTGGAGTTCCAGGCGAAGGTGTCAGGCTCGGGCGTTGGTTCCGGATGCTTTTGTGTCGAAATTGGTGGGAGGGGTCCGCCACCAAGGCCTATCCATATCCCCGTTTCTCTGTCGCTTGGGGGCACAACGCCGCCATCTGAGGAAACAGAAGAAGAGCCTGAGACGGCTCGCTTCGACGGCCCAGCCAGCACGGGCTCCCTCCGTGCCCTGGACTCTGTCAGAGTTTCGCGCTTTTCTGCGATACTGGTCTCGACCCAGCATGCGATGGTTGCTAGGTTTCGGGATCTTCATTATCTGTTTAGGCTTAAAGCATTGAGCATTCAAACACCAATAGGCGAACCAAACAAACCGCTGCATCAACAAACTTGCGTATGCGTATCTCCAAATACATGCATCTGTGCGTGCCCATGTGCGTCCGTGCGACTCGTTCCGGGTCTTGCTGCTAGTACTTCAGCGCTGCCGCTGGTGCTGCTGCTTCTCCTGCTCCTCCTACCTCGACTACTACGACGACAACTACCACCACCTCCGCCACCGCAAATGCCACCGGCACGGCCTCTGCTACTACTACTACTGCTGCTGCTGCTGGCTGCTACTGCTGCTGCCGCTGCTACTGTTACTACTACTACTACTACTACTACTACTACTACTACTTTTGCCGCTTCTTTTGCTTCTACTGTTATTGGCATGCTACTACCTCTACTTGTTTTGCTATTTCTACTCCTGCTGCTACGAATACCGCTGCGAATACTACTGCTGCTGAGGCAGCTTCAGCGTGTGTACTGCTATTTCTGCAGCTGCCACAGATGCCGCTGCTTCTTTCACAAAGAGGTCGATGACGACTTCTGTTGCTGCTGTCGTCGAATCTGCCATTTCTGTTTATTTTCCTGCTACTTCTCAGCTCGTATGCTGCCATGCTGTAGTTCCTGCTGAGGTCATGTCTGGCCATGACATGCCGCAGCTGCTGGGAACCGTCCCGGAATCTGAAGCTTTCGATTCCTCAAGTCTCCAGTGATTTCATCGCTCAACAAGCAGACAACTGGAAAAGATCACCGGGTTTAGAGCTCTAGCCTTCTACCTGCTTAGTCCTTCGTTGCTAATATAGACAACCCTACATTTTCGGTGGGATCGTGAGGGTTCCAAGTTGTGCTCGGGGTTGTTGATCGCACGATTTCAAGTGCTCCATGCATCTCGGAACAAGCAGCCGGAGCTACACGTCCTGAGAGCCAGTCTGGCAGGGCCCGGCTCGAGTTTTTGCTTGCCAGAATGGGCGTTGAATTGCGTTGGAATGCACTGATGCTTGGCAGAACTATGGGTTGCTGGCTTATGAAAAGATCTCATTCCCCGACTCCGACCTTTGCCCACTCCAAGTTTCCAGAGAGCATCAGAAGGCATGTGCACTGCGATCGATCGAAGGTCGGATCGACCCACAAGCGAGCCAACATCAATTGCCCCATTTGCGACAACTTCTCTGAACTGTAGGAGATACAGGAACTACGGTCGAGTTGACCGGAGGGTGGAAGGTGGATCTAGCCAAAGATTCGGGTTGAGTTAAATACTTGAGGCGACACAACAAACAAGTCCCCAGCCCGACCTTGTAGACTTTTTAGAGCGTTCAGAGCAATTAAAAACCCATCACCCAACAAGACTGTCCATTCATGTCCAAATCCAGTGGCCTCTTGAGGGCCTTCAGCTGTTCGATTCCTGTGATTTGTGCCGTTTCTTTCCCGTCCAATGCTGCTCGCAAGCTCGATCCTTCGCCAGTCTCTTGATTGGAGGAGGCGTCAGGGAATCTCCTGTGTCTCTACCTTCTGCCCGCCACTGGCACACACTTTCTGGGTCGCGGCGCAATAAACGGTTGAGAACCGAGCCGCCGAATCCTGCAGCGACACTGGCTTTCTGCAGCCGCACCCGAGATGCCAGATCCAGAGTTGCAGAGAGTTTTGTGTACAACTTTGTGGGTAGCTCCCTAAATTAGGGTCCCTGTTTAGGTCCCCTAATTATATATATATATATACAGAAAAATATATATATATATATATAATATTATATATATAGAACCCTAAACCGTAAACCCTTTTCCCGGCCCCTAAGAATGAGAGAACTACCCCTGTAGCAGTGAGCAAGTTCAAAGCGCCGAAGGCGCAGAAGCTGCTGATCAGAGGTTGTTTCGGGCTGAGGTTCCTAAGCAAGTTGCCTTGTCTAACCTCTTATTCTTATATTAGTGAATAACATATAACAACTACAATACATCTATTATTCTTATTACTACTGCTATTACAAGTACGATGACTAGTAATATTACGAGTACTACCACTATCACTGTTGGTATTATTGCTATGACTATTACTTACACTGTTGCAGTTGCTAGTGCCGTTACTCTGACTCTTTCTCTCTTTTTCTTATGTGCAGCCACTATTTGTACTACTTCCACAAGCATTGTAGTCGTGCATTCCTATGATGTCCATTCCTACGTTCGGGGTGGTCTTCTGAATTCTTTCTCTTACTCTTACTACTACTAGTGCTATCATTATGACCCTTACTATTGCTAGAATACTACTAGCATTACTATTGCTATCACTGTTGCAAGTACTATTGCTATTACTGCGCTTTGGCTCTAATTAAAGAAGCTCGTATAATGCAACTGCCTTAGTCTGGTGCTTCATAAGCGCTGAGATTCTGGATGTTTCCATGCTAGACATTGCAGCCCGATACTCGGACACACCAACTTTGCAGAATGCATCGCATTGGTTTGCCATGGCGCACTTACTAGATGTGGATTGAAAGGACGTTTCCAGAGGTGCTGCGCCTGGCAGGCCAATGTTTCCCATGCACTTTGTGCTGCTGGTTCACCAGACGCGGAAGTATTGCACCGTCCCAAATCTGCAAACACTGCGCCCAGATTGCCATGCGCGGTCACAGGTATAGGAGCGCTTTGCTGCAGCAATCACTATACCCCTGACTGTATCTTATACAGTAGTCATTACGTGCAAGGATCAGGATTCGTGTTTG